TCCTGGGAACTTGTATTGCTTTGAATGGTGGAACATTTTAGTTTCTGCTCCATCCATAAATAATGGTGCCAGGCTGGTAAAAGTGAGCTGAAAAGAGGATCTGCTCCTTCCCAGCACTCTGGTTCATGTTCTACTCTTCCATCTCCCAAATATGAATATATGTGGTGGAGAATATCCATCGCCATTTCTGCTCTCTTCCAGCAGTTGAGGTGAAGTGCTCCGTAGCCAGCACTCTGACAGCATGGCTTTCCTTCACTTACAAACCTCATATGTCTCTCATGCACGGATTTGCTATTTGGGGTTTTTAATTTTGATCATTCCTCAGTCTGTTTTGTCACTCAGTAAATCCTATAGAAACCTCTCTTAAAATTTTGTACAGGTAACTTTCTGTATGTGAGAGCTGGACTCTGCAGATTCCTGTATCAAGCTGTGTCTCTTTTTGTTGCTTTGAAACACTTCTTTGATATGTTTTTCTTGGCATTTTCTGGTCTTTCAAATCAGAAAGGCAAGAAGATAAAAAACTCCAAAAGTGTATCCTGAAGAAAGATGCTGATCCAGCCTTGGTTCCCAGCAGAGTCAACCGTGTAATATTGAGGCATTTGCTGGTTTTTGGAAAAAAAAACCACCTCTTTTAGCCATTAAAAGCCAAGTGCACTGAGGGCATTCTCTAGTACCAACTATTCAAGTTCCTTCTATGGCATATAAGCCTTCTTCCGTAGGAGCCTTCTTCCCTTTCGTGGTTGCTGTGGGCTTGCGAGGCTCGCTCCCCAGGACCAGCTTCAGAGGTGGAAGTTACGCTCCAGAGTGCTAAGTGAAAGTTGGAAAATGAAAATCTTCCCCTTTGCTCTTGATATGGAAACTCTACCTGTAGCCATGTCAGTGCTAAAACTTTGAAATAAAACTTGGGCTTTGAACATACTTTTCATGTTAAGACTGTGCATCATGTTGGCTTTTTATACAGGAGCTGAGAGCATCACATTACTTCTCTTTTGCTAGCCACATTGCAAGCTCTCAGATTGGTGCTACTAACAGGCTAACATCACTTCTTGCCACCCGAGTCAATCTCCTTCCAGAGAGCATGACCACTTTCTGAGGCTGTGTCCAGTTCAGGAAGATTTTTTCCCCCCTCTCTTAAGTCTTCTGCTCACCATACAGACTCAGATTCTGATTCCTCCTGCTACTTGGATAAGAAAATGCAGCTGTGTAGGGTTATTGGGCACAAATGCAAAGCGCTTGTGCTTTTATTACTTCTACTTGTGTCAGCCTGTTGTGTGTGTGTGCACGGACCCCTGGAGCCAAAGCAGACCTTCAGATGCCTGGTGCCACAAGGATCCTTCCTGTGTGGGTAGGACCAGGCTGTTCAGACCATGCCTGTTCGCAGTAACTGGTGGAGCCAGAGAAACTACCATCCACGTGGAGAATATCAGAGAGAACTGCAACAAGTGTAAACTGGTTCTGTGTGGCTTTCACAGTATATCTGCTGTATGCCCACTATCCCTCTTCTGAAAAGGGCCCCCAGGATCCCGCTTCAAGCCTGTGGTTGAAGGGGAGCTGAAGAGGTTTGGGTGTGTTTCACCTATGTACTCCTGCATGTGTGAAGGCAGGATGCAACCTTGCTCTCTGCAGATACTGCAAGGGTTGGTTTTTTTAAAGTCTTAATTGATAGACTGGATGTGCCCGTAATGTAAATGTACACGTGGATGACGTTAAAAATCTCTTGTCGCTAGTAAATAACATCCTTTTTCTAGTCCAAGATGTCAACAGACTGAGAAACCCCCAAGTATAAAGTGCTACCTGCCTTCTGGTTAGGGTGGGGGAAGGTCTATAAACCAAATAACTGTATCAAAATAATAACTCTTTGTGGCAGTGGATTCTTAATTATCTCACTAAGGCCCACTGTTGATTACAAACCCGTCTTAAAAAGCTAAAAGGCCTTTTTTAAATGCAAGATTTGTTGTAATACAGTGATTCCAGAAAGAGGCATTCTGTTATCAGGGAGAAGGAAAGAACATAGAAATAAAAAGAAGTCATGGAAGAGGAAATGTATTTTAAAATACATAATGCTATACAGAAGCTAGGCTGACACTTGAGTTCTGTATCGGGTTGTTATCTGCTGAAAGATCACCAGTGCTACTGAAATTGGTGCCTGCTTTTATAAGAAAGGGTACCTAGTGTTTGGTCTTGACAGACAATGTTGAGCGCCTTTGAATATGAATATGTTAAACCATAGAGGATTACTGGTCATCTTGGTAAAGTAAAACCACCAGGGAACTTTGTGTCCATCCAAGTCCATGAAGATACTTGTGCATACATGCTGCCCAGAAGCATTGGAAGCTTTTGCCCTTCAGAATAGAGACAGGGCAGAACTATCTTCCTGTATGAATATGTAGTTTCCATAACTTTAGATGGTATTAATAGCTGCTTTACAGTATAAAGTGTTGTATTACCCTGGTGCTAGAAAACTGGTTAATGAAGCTACCATCTCTGTGTTGGAGGTTGTGGACGACTTTTAACCCCATGTCTGTTTATTCTGTTTATGGTGAAGCTCAACAAGGGAGCAAGAGAAGCAAAACTCTTCTTTTTTCCTCCTGTATCTGACCACTGAAGCCTTTCTTTTAATTGTGGGAGCAGAAGTGTCTGAATTTCCTGCTCAATCAAGAAAATTGTTAGTCATTCAGGCGAAGCAACATGAAGCTTCCTGCTCATTCTGGAGTGGAAGGATTTCTGTGGTTAGAAGAGGATCTACGCCCCTTTGGTGTGACTGCAGTGCACTGGCATATCTGCGGTTTTGCGCTGGTCCTGCGGACCACTGCTCTTAGAAGACAAACTAACAGGAAGAGATCAACTTCCTCAGTCAACAGTCTTGAAAGTGAGATGGTGGAGAGATCGTTCATTATACTGGCAGGTTTAGGACTTTGTAAGGTTGAAATAGTGACCAACACAATTGTATAGAGCTTAGGCAATATTCTGAGTTTTGGTTTGGTTTGGGTTTTTTTTTTTTTGTACGTACCTGCAGACACTTTCATCTGGACCAAGACTGCTTGTTTTGATACTCCACAATTCTGGTTTTTTGTTACTTAATCTTCAAGAAATCCCTTTGGGTCAGGGCATTATATCTGTGCTGATACAGCTGTAGTCATGTCTATTAACTGGTAGGGTAGAAACAAAAGGAGAAATTTGGCTTGGGAAGCAATTCTTTGACTGGGATGAAAACCTCGATTCCAACAAGATTTTCTTTGGCACGGTCTCTGTATTTTTCTGCAGATTGGCTGAACTAATTGTTTCCTATTTGTGACCCAAGAATTGTGTCAGCAAAACCTGTCTGCTCTTGTGGATTTGTTCACGGAAGAAATGGAAGACTTAATTTCAGCTGCATACACTGAGAGCACAAGTGGATGGGTTTCTTTCCTTCTGCTCTTTTTCTTGCAAGCCCAAGACAAGCAGATGCAGCAATTCCTCCTTAAGATTTCCTATAGAATCGTTATCAGTGGTAGAGTCGTGGGGACTCCTCCATCAAATACAAGACATTGTGTTTTCTACTTGATCTTGCGTGCTTCGTTCTCCAGAAGAAAAGCTAGCTCTTTAAAACCTGATGTGCAGGTGGCAAAGCTGAGGACGAAGCTTGCTGCTGGAGTAGTGAGAGCTTGTGCCAGGGAACCTTTTGTTAACCTAAGAAAATGAGTTTTCTTGCTGTTACTTGCTCCGTTTTGTAGGCTGTGAGATTTTCTGGGGAGTCCTTCGCGAAGGTCAAAAGTAGAGTGGGCTAGAAATGGTGTATTCTGACACTTAAGGGTACTTTTCCTTAAATGTAGTGAGCAGCTTTGGTCAGTAGTTCCGTAGACAGCACTGAATTATTCCTCTGTTGCCTCCCCAGTATAATCCTGTTCCTCCTATATTCTGTTTATAAGCGGGTTTGATGGCTGATTTTCCTTAGGTAGCTTGGAAGCTGGTGAGCTTTTCTGTGGTAACCTATATTTACAGTGCATAATCAAAGTGATTCTTGGGACAGTTTCATATTTATCCATGAGATTGTTAATTCAGGCTGCGAATCACAGGGAAGCGCTTTTGCAGTCCCGTATCTGTTCCTGCCGGTGGAGTTGTTGCAGGCTGTAGTTGTGTTTAATTTTGAAAATCAGGGTTCTGCGTTTGTTGTCCTTCAAAGGTCCAAGAAGGCAGTCGAAAAGCTTCTAAATCTGTGCTGAAGAAATGACATCTTAAGCTATTTATATCTTCCTCACTGTTACGAGCCATGTCTTAGACTGAAGATCTCCGGGTATGCAGGGTCTGGCAGGCAGGGCTCAGGCATTGGCACAGAAGTGTGTCCGTAAAGAATGGAAGCTGGAAATAAAATACCAGATTTTTACAAGCTAATACAACCTAGCATCACCCTGTAGTCAACTCTAGTTCACTTCAGTAGACAAAATGCAATCCAGATTTAGGTGGCCCTTTCCGGAGGAAAACTGTATACATTGTACCTTGGAAATTTTCTCTATGAAAGGAATATTATCATTCACTTGTGAGAAGAAAGGCTAATTTGGCTTGGAAAATCAGTTCTACTTTTTACTGGAACAGAGACAGTCATATAATTTTGACTGTCTTCTCCCATTGGATTCCTCTTTCTGTTGGGGACAAGAAACTAGGATTGAAGTGTATAAAACCTATGATATAAAATATAATACTAAACAGACTTGAATTCCACCTCCAAGTGTGATAAGAGCTGTTGGAATTATGGTCTGTCTAATAAACAGAAGATTTTGAATGGCTTGTTACTTAAACTATTGTTTGTAAATGTCTTGACAGAGGAACCTCTCAATACATTTTTGTTGTTTCACGGTTAGAATAGAAATGTTTGAGAATGCTACAGTGGCTGGCATAATAATCCTCGTAGCCAGTCGTAGCAGAATGCTTGGTAAATAGTCTTGTGATACTCAAATTATCATACAAGATTAAGATCAGAATTGAGACTTGCAAACGCGATGCTAAACTACCTGTTCTCTCAGTCCCAGATGCAAACCCAGGTACAACAAGTGGGAATTGTACCGACCCAGGCGATGGCAACTGGACCAACGGCAGATCCGGAGAAGCGCAAACTGATCCAGCAGCAGTTGGTTTTGCTGCTTCACGCTCACAAATGTCAGAGGCGCGAGCAAGCGAATGGAGAGGTGCGGGCCTGTGCTCTACCGCACTGTCGAACCATGAAAAATGTCCTCAACCACATGACACACTGTCAAGCTGGGAAGGCCTGTCAAGGTGAGAGCGCGTTGCTGAAGCTACTCTTGCAAATGAGCTATGTAAGGTTTCTTGTGCATTTGTCAGCGCTGTTTCTCTTCTTGTCAAGAAGATCCCTGTACCTGGCACAAATGAGTGCCAAAACTGGTTTTTTAATTAAACAGCTGCTCCCTTTATCATTACCTTTGCTCAGTTTCCATTTCTGATCTCTTCACAGTTGTCAGTTTAGAAAACAGAATGCAATATTTGCTTTTTAGAAATGGGATACTACCAACGCTAGCCTTGAAAGCCTCTTTTTTTCATCTCCGTTCTATAAAGAGGGTGTAATATCCACCGTGTGTTTGCCTGCAACTCAGCCATGTAAAGTTTCTTAGATTTTAGTGCGAGTTTCCTTCATTTCTTACAGCATTATTGGTGAGTCCCAAAAAATTTTAGTTGCATTTAGCGATGTTTAGTTACATTGCTTGTAAAGAAGAAAGAACAGAGTTGCTCTAAAAAATGAGATGAGTTCACTCAAAACCAGTTAACCAAGAAGTGACCTTAATTCTGTTGCTTTTCCTTGTTACAGTTGCTCATTGTGCATCTTCAAGACAAATCATCTCCCACTGGAAGAATTGTACTCGGCACGACTGTCCTGTGTGCCTTCCTTTGAAAAATGCCAGTGACAAAAGAAATCAACAACGTAAGTAGTTGTTTTACTGCTGTCACTATGGAATGACACTGTTAAAATAAAGTTGATCAAACATGCAGTGCAGGAATAAATGTTGACAGTGTCCCAACAAACTTAAGAGCTGTTTAATAATCTTGTATAAGGATGAATTCTCTTTTCTGATAATCGAATGCAATTTATTACTTAAATACACAATAATTGAAAAGGGAAAAATCCCAGATCAAGTGCGCATCCGTTTTTAAAGGGTGTGGCAACTTCTAGCTGGTGTTTTATTATGAGGCAGGTCAATCCATTCTAGCTATAATGCAGTTTTGGATGTAGGTAGGGTTTGGGGGAAGATATAAGCTACTTATTATTTTTCTTACTGCTAGAAACAACTTAAATCAACATGCTAGTGATTAAGAATAATCAAAAATATTTATATATGTTAAAAAAAAAAAGAAGGCCTGTGCACAAAAAGATCTCATCTGGGTGTCCTAATCATTAAGTGTATTTAATGCTGGTATAGACTAGCTTAAGTTCTGCAAATCATAGAGGTTTCGCCCATGCCTGTTTTTTATAATAGCTTAGCTGTTACTGATGCTTGGAGGCACCCAATTTCTAGTGCATTTCTTCCGTCTTGCTCTGAAACAGAAAATACTGAACTTATGTTGGTAGCTTTGCTTCTCATCAAATCCTTTGAAAAGATGCCAAGGTAGAACGTTTTACAGCATAGATGCAGCAGTTCTAGAAGTCTAAGTAATGTTATGCCTCAGTATATTTAAATAAGGGTTAAGAAGTGGAAAATAGCTGGAGGACTTGCAAAGCTTGTACATTTGAGTTGTGTTGGAAGCATTCTGCTAATTTCCATTTAGGCTGAGACTGCAGCAAGGAACGCTCATAAACCTTGGAGGACAGAGAAGAGCTCCTAGGTTAGGTGAGATTAAGGCAGAGGGGAGAGTAGCTGCTAAGACTGTCCAAATTGTCCATTGAGGATGCTCTCATTATAGTTTCAGGAGGGTGTTTTTTCCCTCCAAAACAAAAAAAAAATTATAAGCATAGAGCTACTTGGAGGTAAGGGGTTTGTTTCTGTTTTACCAAACTTCTCCTTGGTAAACAAGATACATCTTGTGTGTTAAAAGCAGTAATTTGTTGCAAGTGATTAGTTATGTTTGGCCTTCAAAAAATGTGTTGAAAGCTTTGCTTTTTAATATGACATGGTCCATTTGTGCATAACATCCTTATTACACAGTTGTTATCAAAGTGCTAACAACATCTAGCACAACAGAATTGGGTTTTTTTCAATACAAGCTGCTATAGAAAAGTAGTTTGTGCAGTATTTGTTTTTACGTCATTCATTCAGCTTATCAAAAGAGAGGGCATTTGAGCAAAACCAGTCCTTAAAAATAATTTTGTTATGGGATCAAACAGGATGTTGTTTGAATGCAACAGAATTATAATGGGTAAGTGTAGAGTTTGGCTCTCTTGTTGCATGCAGGGGAAATAAATGTGAAATCTCCTCCTTCTATTCAATTAATCAATAATCCAGTGGTAGAAACCATGAAGATTTGCTGAGGTGCAGGGTACTTTGTTCTGAGTTATGTCTGTGAGTCATACACGTGACACCTCGTGGTTTGTTTGAAGTTAAAAGATGAACGCTCAAAATACGTGTTTAGATATATTATAAAGGATACCCCCTTTTAGGCATTCAAAGATGTTTGTGAAATGATTTACATTAATATGTGCATTTGAAAACACTGTGCCTGATCCTAAGCTAGGTTAGTTGAAGACTTGAAGAAAATGTTGGCTCTCTTAGGAATAAATAATTCTAGCGTCTGCTAGATTGGGGGGAGGAGGGGATCTGCGTATGGCAGAATATGATGAGAACATTTAGAAAAGGAAAAAGAAGTGAGAAGCATAGTGACCCTCGTTACTTTTGTCAGGCTGTCGTCCTTCCAGAATGGATGACCCTGTGATGGTCATTAAAGAATTTCAGTCCTAGAATCTTCCTTTCCGTGCTCATGCCTATTTTACTATTGTTATTTTGAGTCCTGTTGTATCTCTGCTGGGCTTTCAAGTGGCTCCTTCAAAGTGTGCCAATCTTTTAGAACATTCTGCAGTTCAGCACTTCTGAAACATTGCAATATGGTGGCTTGCTTCCACCCTTCGCCTGTGCAGTGGTTCACGTGCTCTTTGTAGCTATCTGTTCCTGCTCCTTGGGGGATTCCCTCTGCATGCTGCAAGAACTCCTTGGGTTTAAATTATTACTATGGAGTAATAATTTAATTGAATTTAATTTTTTAATAATAATTTCTTTACAGGTTTTTTACTCCATGTTTTAGTGTTTAGATTCTTTGCAAGAAACAGCTGTCTGTGCCAGGTTTCATTTGTATAGCTGCTTTTTTTTTTTTTTTTTAAGTAATCTTGAACCATCTTATTGTAATTGTTGGTAGTAACATGACTTGTTAATAGGGCATGCTGGGACAAGTTTGAAATTATTTCTGTTCCACATGGTTCTTACTGCCTGTATACCTCTGGGACAGTAGGGGAAAACAGGGGGAAGGAATTACTTTGCACACGCTAAAATATTAAGCTCTTCTTTTGAATAAGCCGGTGACTCCTGTGTTTTGAAGTAATGGTTTGTAATTTGGTAGAAATGTTTTGGGGTTGGAGGGTTGGTTTTGCTAGGAAGTACTTCCTGCTCCCTGCTGAGCCCACCACAATTTGAGTTACAAACTCTAGCAAACAGCTGTTGATACATTTCCTAGCTTTATAGCTCTATCATAACAGTTCTTTTTTCTGAAGATTCATCTTGTCATGTACATGCTTGAGCTTCTTAATTCTTCTGTTCCTGACCCGGGCAGGTGGGTGTTGTGCCACCAAACAGCTACTGGGTACCACAGCCCTACAGGTGGTGATAAGTGTGCTGTGCTCACCGTTTGTTATGCCCTGGGCCATCCTCATGCAATGCTTGATGTGCTCCATTTCAGGATCGAGGGACTGAAGGAAGTCTTTGGGATCTCTGTTCAGTTGAGTGAGACTGGAAGGTGGAGTTGTGAACATGGAGCTAGTCTCCCCTGGGTTTTTTCCCCACAGAAAAATTTTAAATAAAATGCAGTGAGGAAAAAGCTGGATTGAGAGAGTGTGAATTTGAGACAACTAATCTTCATCTAAAACCATTATTTTAAAGAAGACTGGGCCAGAAATTCTGGAGTACGTGGACTCAGGGGTGGAGGGTGGGAATCTGTTCAGGGAAATGGAAATCGGGCCTAGGAGCTGGCTGGCTGAGGCAGTAGGTTATTGAGTATGGGCAGAAACTGAAAGAAGACCTGGGTGTAGAACCTTTGGGAATTAACCCTTTGCAGAGAAGGGGGGAGTGCATTGGTGCGCGGGGAAATGTGTTCAGAAAGAGTAGGCGGCAACTTCTTCACTAGAGCTTGTTTCCTGTAAAAACGGGAAATGAAATCCAGTTTGCTCAAGTCTGTCAGTAACTGTCTGTAAAATCTACACGCAAAATGTGCATCTTGTTTTTTTCCAGTGCTGGAAATCATATGTGATGGTGACCTACCAGCTCTCAGTTACTGCACGGAGCCACATGATAGATGGTTAGCCCACAGATTAAGAAGGTCCTTCATTGACTAATATGATGCTGTACTCTGAAGGCTTTTAGTTTAATGCTTAACTGAAATAAAAATTAAAATGGCATTGGTTGTAAAGTTTAATGCTGACGCTTCCTACCTTTGAGTTGCTCATAAAATCTTTAGTTACCCAATGATTTGATTAGTGATGCAGCCTTTAATTAGACGATCATGTACGCTTACCTTTTGTATACCTGCCTAACTCTGGGTGCAGGACAGGCTTGTGCTGAGGTGAGTCAAGGTTACCGGCAGAATTTTTGCTCCAGCCGCTTTGAGCTAGAATGGATGTAACAAGCAGAGTGAGGAGCTGCAGGACAGAGCATTTGAACGCTGCTGAACGAGTCTCAATTCCAGAATTTGGAAGCAAAATGAAAAATTTAAATCGGACTTCTCAAAAATGGATTAACATGTTGCTTTCACTGGGTGGTGAGGTTAGAGGAGTGCTGGACATTCATACTTAAAACAGCGTTAGCAGTCTGTATTTAAATTCTAATCAGCTGGAGGGGCAGAGGGGCTCCCTTCTAGAAGACGTGCGTGCAGTTTCATTAAGGCAGCGTTACCTACTTTGCACACTGAAACAGGAATCCTGTAGATGAGAGGGTGCTCGGTCATTTAGATTACATCCTAATGCATATACCCAGGAGGGCATCATCAGGGAAGTTCTGGGGCTGCTTAACTTCTGCTTGTTTGAGCTTTCACTCATAAGATACATAAACACGTGTGACTTTGTAACAGTGGGACATGTGGAGCTCAGTTGTCTTTAAAGCATTTCAGATGTGAACAGTCCTGTACAGAGTTGTATTTACACTTGTAACTTCTGTCACGAGCTCATCAATGTCTAAAGCATCAGTTAATAAAAAAAGAAATCACAGTAGACGTTGCTTCATGTAGCAGTGGCCTAATGTGATAACTCCTGTTTGTGTCAGTGCTGTATTTATTTAAATTGACTTGATTTCCTATGGTATCTGCCACAGAAAGGACTGCGTTTGCACTTCATCTGTCCAGTATGGAAATTTAATACTCTCTTCCTCCATCTTGTTTGACAGGTTGAGCTACTGTCATGCATTCGTATCACACCAATGAACAAACAGACAAAAAAAACCCCCTTCAAAATCAGATTCCTGATGATGTGAAAATACTCAGTACAGTATGCTATTAACCGAGTTATAAAATGTAGAAAGCCTGAGACCATATAGTCAGAGCCACTCATTTCCATGTTGTAAGTGTACCGCTGGCTGCAAGAATGTAGTCTGTCCCCTTGTTGAAAGGGTTGAAATGGTTGTCAAGCATTGGAACAGGCTGCCCAGGGAAGGGGTCGAGTCCCCATCCCTGGGGGCATTTAAAAGCTGGGCAGCCGAGGTGCTTAGGGACAGGGTTTAGTGGTGGGATGGCAGGGTTAGGGGAACGGTTGGGCTAGGTGATCTTAAAGGTCTTTTCCAACCTAAACGATTCTGTGATTCTAATAAGAATGCTTCTGTTTGAAGCGTTGAAGCAACGTTTGGCTGTTTACCAGCTTTAGTGACTTTTGCCTGCTTGAATTGGTACATGCACGCACGTGGAACTTCTTGGAGAACATTAGTCTTTTCAAACCGCAAGTCAAAACAGTGGTCTTCAGACATTATCCCCTTATGATAATGTTAGTCATGTTATGAAAAAACAGTGGGGTTTTTTTTCTGTTTAAAGTAGACTTACTCACCATGTTGTCACTTTTAAAGTGACATTCAGACTGTCAACTCTGACAAATACCCAAACTGAAGTTTTAGAAGTAGTCTTTGGTCTGGGGCAGAAATAGAGATCTGGAAATGTGATCTTGCTTAAGTAGACTTCTCTAGAATTGGCTGGATTGTGGTTCCTACAGCTGCTCGAACACGAGGGCTGAACTTGTGCTTCATAGTAACTGATACCGCTGCCAAAGCTCAGCCCAAAAGCGTGGGCAAGAGGTGACTGACTCCTCCAAGCTCTGCCTTAGCTTCAGAGTGAGCTTCGAGCCAAGCTTGCAGTCCGCAGAAGATCAGTGCCGCTTTTTTCCCCCAGAAGAGCATGAGGAATGGTGAAACACTTGGCTATCCTCTGTGGGATGGCCAGAACCCTTACCCAGCCTTTCAGCATCGCTCTGCCCTCTCCAGAGATGTGCCCTCTGATTTACAGCCAGTGTGGAAAGCGTATGGGGGGGAGTTGTTCTGACTTTTCTGGAGAAATAGGATCCTCTT